ATAAATATCTTGATGTTGAACCTTTATCCGAATTACCTAGTAAAAAATTTTTAAAAAAATGTTTCAGTAGGTGAACAAGTTTTAAATCCATTTCAATGTTCATATCGATGTCGTGTATTATGTCATTATCCACATGAAGTTCCAAATAATCCATTTGATGAAGATGCGATTAGTCGTGTAAGAATTTTAATTTCAGAAAATATTTTTAATATTTTTTTTTTCTAAACAAATAGTCGTCAATGCCAGATGGTGTTTCTATTCGACTAAATTCTCCTGATCTCCCAGCAACACATCCTTTTTTAATAACACGTCTTGATGGAACACGTTATTATGGTGTTGCATTAACATTTTTTGAACAAATAAATAATGATGATGAAAATATTTCTCAATTTTCATCATCAACAGCATTTATTTCTTTAAATCGTTTAATTGAAAATTATAATCGAACATGTCGACATCAACGCCGTTCATCATTATTAATTTATGCAAGCAAAACTATTTGTTTAATTGGTTCACAAGCACATTATTCAATATTTAAACGTATTTTAGAACTTCTTTATCGTATGACAATTGAACATGATTTATATATACCATCTCCATCATTATCACATTCAGCTTTTAAATTTAATGTTGGTGAAAGACAATTAACTGTTTGGCAACCAAGTATTCATGATAATGATTTACCTTTATTAGATTTTAATTTATTGGATTTTTTTTCTCTATTGGGCGTTGTTGATCTTGTTACATGTGCTTTATTAGAACATCAGATTATTCTGAAATCTTCAGGTATTCATTTTTTTAAAATTCTTCATTTGATAAAACGATTTTTTTTATTATGCTCGACAAAAACTCAAGTTCATTATAGCTGTTTATACGTATGGGCAAGATGGTCTCGATCTCGTCGTGACAAGTATTGGTAAAATACGCTCTGACCATCGTTTTAATTAGGACATATGCCAGTCGATAGAGCTTGAAATCCTGAGTCTAATGGATCTCAGTGTAAGCCAATAGCTCAACAAAAGAAATGTTAGGAAAATGAAGTCAAACGTAGCTACTCTGCTACATCTTTTGAACTGACGAGGGCGACC